GAATCAAAGAGAAATCATCAAACCTCAAGTTTGTGCATTTTCAAGCCTATTTCATTCAATATTCATCTTTGCTTTCAAGAACACTTATTGTACTCAATTGTATTTCTTGAGTTCTTTCTTTGTCTATAATTGTGCAAACATCTTCCCTTGTGAGGATTTTCTTGTAAGTTTGCAAAATTTGTATTGTTCTTTTTGGGAGAGAGTGTTCTCAAGAATTTGGGGTATAATTCTTGAGGGATTTGTAAGGTTACTCTTTGTCCTCAAAAGAAAGACAAATTAGTGAATTTATGGAAAATCCTTAGTGTGGATAGCTAAGGTAGTGGACGTAGACTTTGGTTGAGAAAGTCGAACCACTCTAAATTGTTGTGCAAATATTTTCAATTTTCTGCAAAAGCTTCCACCGAAATTTTAATTGCCAATTCACCCCCCTCCTTGGCTATATTCGTCGATCGATTAACTCAACATTTTTAAATCCTTCAATCATTTAGTCCTCAAGCTTAATTAGAACTTTAACATTTACATAATTAAATAGGAAAAATATTAGAAGCTACGTTTTAGATTTGAGCCCCTATGTTCCTTAATTTTCATAATTTGATACCTTAAGTTAGAAAAAGCCTTAATTTACCTTGGATTAATTAGAATTGAATTAAATTGTGTTTGATTGTATTTTATTTTAACTTTAAGGCAATGTTTACTTATTAAGGAATTAGGCAATGTTTGATTGCATTTTATTTACCCTAAATAGGTCGACATCCTTTTTCAAAACCGCATCATGTTTTTCTAAAAATGAGGCAATGTTTGGTTATTAGGCATAATAGCTTATCTCCCACATTTACTCTCGGGGGTGAATGTTATGGGTCTCAATAAACGATTACCCTTTTCAACTTTGCATCCTTAATGATTTTTAAATTAAATAAAGATCGAACCAAAAATTTTGGATTTTAAATATAGGGTAACCAACTAGGTACCAATTTTTGGGCGCTTGTGGGGGTGCTAATCCTTCCCCACGCGTAACCCACTCCCGAACCTGAGTTCTGGATTTTTTGCAGACCCCAAAACTCAATATTTTGATAAAAATAAAAGGTTTTGTTAAAATCATCTGGTTTTTACTGTGTTCCAATCTCACCTTAAATGATTGGTGGTGCTCACATTTTTTAAACACTTTTCAAAGAGAAAAAGCCCTAGTCGGTATCAGTCTTTCCCCGCTCGGACGAAAAACGGTGTCGACAGTGATGAATAAGGTGTGTGTGAATAAGACGGTGATGAATAAGGTGGTGGTGAATAGGATGGTGGTGGATAAGGTGACTTCTATTTGGGTTTCTCGTACTTTGGCGATTTGTATTCGTGTTTTTCCTTCTTTGGTGGTAAATAAGATGGTGATGAATAAGGTGGTGGTGAATAAGATGGTGGTGAATAAGATGGTGGATAAGGTGACTTCTCTTTGGGTTTCTCATACTTTGGTGATTTGTATTCGTGTTTTTCCTTCTTTGGGGGTGAATAAGATGTTGATGAATAAGGTGTGTGTAAATAAGGCGGTGAGAAAGGATGGCGAATAAGATGAAGGTGGATAAGGTGACTTTTCTTTGGGTTTCTCATACTTCTGTGATTTGTATTCATGTTTTTCCTTTTTTGGTGGTTTGTATTTGGGTTGATCTTTTTTTTTTTTGATGTTGGATGGTATTGTAGGTTGTTTTCGGGTGGTGTATAGACATGACTAGGTTGTTTCCCATAGTCGGCTGAGTCGTAGGAACCGAGTGAGGGAGTGGGGGCGAAGAGAGCCACCACTACAACGACTAATGCTTACAGTTTGCCAGAGACATTATGAAGCACTGTCTTTGGATGATTTTGCAATGAGATTATTCTCCTTTTATAGCGGTAGAAGAAACTTTTGGTAGGTGTCAAATCTTCTCTTGCATGATAGCTTACCTTGTGGACCATTACCGACTGACCCAATAATTCTACTTTTAGTAATATATGAATACTAAATCCGAACCCACAAGATAAGTGAAAGTAATTAAAGACGGACTCAACAATAAAATTAAAACAATTTCTCATGTATCCATTAGATTTTGGACAATAATTTTATAAATTTATGTTAATCTCCTTCTTAAATTAGTTTTATTTATTTAAATTTAATTATAAAAATATAAAATTTCAAAATATTTTGAAAAAAGAAAAAGAAAAAAATGAATGGCATTAATAAATATATTCCAAATAGTTTAGCTCGATTGAGAAATATTTTTTTCGTTAATTATTCATAAAAATAAAATGGTCCATTTCAGTCTCACCTCATCTAAGATTATAAGCTATAATTTAATTATAAAATGGTCCTTCTTGAATTTATGTATCCATTTTCGTTAATTTATGGTCCTTCTGGAATAAAAACTAAACTCGTGATTTTTTTATTCAAATTAAGAAAGAAAAGGCTAATCAATTAAATTAAACCTTTGAATCGAGAATTTGTGTCAACTAACTCATTTGATCAATTTTAACCGTCATATTGTCATATTGTGTATTGTCGCTATGTCACATAAAATTTATAGATTAAAAATATCTAAAATATTATTAAAAGTAATAAATATCTAAAAACGTCAGTTGATAATTCTGTGATGTGATATGTGAGGCTAACTAATCCAAAAAAAAAATGTTAGATCAATGATAAATGATGGTTAAAGGTCAGTGTGATAAGTGTCTTCATATCTAGTTTTCAAGTGTATATCAGACAATTCGAAGCCCCACACGATCATACTGAACTTGAGGATAGACCATGAACCCTAGAAGAAGAGCAAGGAAACCTCATATTTCCAAAGGGCATCGTTAAAGCCAATGTCCTAACTCTTTTTTTACAACAATAAAATAATTGTACGGTACGAATTTTGTGAAATGAATAATCGTATTAAAAGAAAAATAAAATTATTGGTGCTGCGGCAATTTAAAAAAGTAGTGATAATGTAGCATTACCTTATCATGACACAACAATATCATCGTTAGTTTATTAATAGTGGGTGACCAAAACAGAAACAAAACTCAATGTTAGGTATATTTTGAAGAAAAAAAAGTGGTTGAGTAATCAAAACATAATCGCAGGAATAGGTGGGTGACTAAATGCGTAATTTGCCCTTATTTTTTTGCCTAAACGAATAATTTCATTGTTAAGATTTAAAAAACTATTTCTCTTTCTCGAAATTTCTCATTCAAATATACCCTCCAAAGTTTGATAGAGAATCCACTTATCATGGTTTTAAAAAATGACTGAGATTTGATGAAAAGCCCACTAACTTCTATAAAGTTTACTAATTAATTGAACTTTAAATACAACCTAAACTTACCCTTTATTAATTACTTTTTTTTTATTATTTAATAATACTTAATTAAAAATAATAAAATTATATTCGATTCTAAAACTATTTTTTTGAATCGAAAAGAAACTAAGGAAGTGGCTAGAGCATTATCATCTTGTTACATCGAACCCGTGTCTAGATCTGGCAAACTTGACCCGAACAAGATTATTCAAACCGATTTATTCGAATTAATACTCGATATTAATCCGAATATGATGATCAAATTTGATTCGAAATTTGGACCATACTCAATCTAAAATTTAGTTGACCCAATATAGACTCATATCCAATTTGATCTCAATTGAAAACAATATGAATCGAAATTAACGCGAACCGAAATAACTTGAACTGAATTTAACCCAAACTGAAAAACAATCTGAACCAAAAAAACAACCCGAATCGAATTTAACAGATCCAAAATTAATCCGAATCCAAAGCAATTTGAACCGAAAATCTATATATATTTGATTAGACTTATAATCGAATTAAGCTAATCCGACACCAAAAATCAATCGATCCGATATTGATCTAAACTGAAAAACAACCGATCCGATAATCACCCAACTAGAAAATTGATCTAACCCGCTACCCAACCCGACCCAATTTATTTTACACCCTAACTAAATCCAAATCAGACCCGATTCAACTCGAATAAAATTAAACCGAATATAATCTAGACTCAAAATGACCCGAACTGAATTAATCCGACCTAAATTTAAACCGAATGACCCGTTTGCCACATCTGTCCATCTCCAAAGCCAATAGACAATTTGACCATTCTGTCGGCTACCTTAAATTACATAATGCGTATTTCTAATTAATATTAATGAACATAATTTAGAAAACTGTTAAAAATGACAATTATATTTTATTAGGATTATTTTTACTAATTAGAACTTAATTTTCTAGTACTTCAATATAATTTTAAAGTAGTTAAAATTTTATTTATAATTAAAAATTGATAAAAATAAATAAAAATGCATGTTAAAGTATTTTCAAGCAATATGGGGCTAAGACCTAGCTCCCTTTTACATGATTATGAATTCAATAACTCATGAGATTGGTTTCGACAATGGAAAGACATATAAGGGATTTTTACAAGTCTCAATTCCATTAAGCACAATCTTAAATGGAAGACAACAACTTATATTAACAAAGTCAACGTTATGAGTGATTAAATTCTTCTCCCATTGTCATTGCAGAAGGGGACAAGATCAGATAATCAGGGTGGCCTACGTAGAACCCTCGACTCTTAGTATGTTAACTATACCTATAGCTCTCATAACACATAACATGGGCATTATCTTTTATACCATTTCACATTTTCACATAGGCACATAGTTTACTTTCACGTAGCATATTTCCATGTAATTCACATTCACGTATCACATAGCTTTTCACATTTACTTGTATTCTTTTTCACATAACCCATAGACATAGGTCTTATCTCATAGCATATACATATTCTTATATCATCACCTAATTCAGTTAACATGCATAGCATATCATGTAACATTCTAATAGAAACGCATACAAGTCATCACTTTCACATATCTTTTATCATTTATTTTATCTCTTATGACTATCTAACCTATTATCACACATACATACATTTACATGATTCACATAATAAGATGCACTCAACAATTAAACCTCTGCATTTACTCATATACATCTAGCACCACATTACTACATGATCATACTCAAGTACTCATAAATACCATATCATACTATACTTATATTCTTGTACTCATGTCATCTATTATCGGAATTAGACTCATCGCAAGTCTTAATTCCCTAAACATCACGTACACTTAATATCATGTACTCACCTGATCTCAATGAACACTCTTAAGCTCTTGTTCTTTCTTGTGAGAAGATCAGATAATCAGGGTGGCAGACTTCTTAAATATAGATTTCACAAATCTACCTAACCTAGAAGTCCCCAGACTCCCTCAAGGACGGATTTCTTCAACATCGAACAAAAGAAATTAGCAAAATCCTCGCACCAAGAGGGCTGATTAGTTCATTTACCTCATGAAAGAAGCCGTGGCATCAAGGGAGCCCGAACTTGCGCTCAGCCTTGCATGATATCAATATGTACGCCCAAAAAACCAGTGCCAATCCTCTTCCTCCATCTTCATCAGTTTCTAGAGTCCATCGACACAAGTTAAACCGAACTTGCTTGTTACTCCTCTGCTTGCTGCTGCATATGCTCCCTATTGTGCTTCAAACAATATTGAAGTGTCTCAAAAATTCGCTTCATTTCCACGGAGATATCAATTTCAGACCTTCAAGCAAATGTAAACACTTGTATAAATAAAAGTAAAAGATAGAAGTTTCATGACTATTATGTTATGTGTCTATTTGAAATATAAGCAAGTTTAGGCATCGAAGCACAAGCACTGCATTGATTCTAAAATTATGAAAGCTTGAAATGCATTGACTAAATTCTTTTGGAAGAAAGTGAAAACAAAAAAGAAGTACAAAAGTTTTCTTTCTTTTACATGTTCCACAACCAATTTTCACAACATTTATGATGAAAATAAGAGAATTTACCTACACAAATTTCTCTGTACTCTTATTTCCATGTGATAATCAGGTATTTGAATTCCATATCTCCAGCACTATCAACGACTAAAAAGGCGAAATTCTTCAATCAAATAAAGGCTCCTTAATCAGGAGGTTCATTTTCTCCTGAAGAAATTTAAGTACATCCTCTCTCCCTTCTTTTACAAGCAATTGCCTTAACCTCCCAAATGTCGGGCCCGAGGGCTGAATGCCTTTTTCCAGCATCTCTTCTAATAGGACACAAGCCTTAGCAGCATTTCCTTTCTCACATAATCCATTTATGAGAACTGAATATGTGTGCATGCTTGGGATAAACCGCTTCAATTTCATGAACTTCCACACTTTAAACGCCATTTCTAACTCATCTCTCTCACAGAACATCTTTATCATTATTGTATAGGTATCTGCATCTGGTTCACATTCTTTAATCATCCTGCGGAACACCTTAAAAGCTTCATCCGTCTCTCCGCGACCTATCAAGCTGTTGAGAATGATATTACAAGTCCTAGCATTTGGTTCCACACCTTTAGAATCCATCTCATTTAAGACCCTATATACATTCTTTAATTTGTTTACTTTACAAAAAGCACCAATCAGAGCATTATACACGACCACATCAGCCTTGATTCCATTTCTTTCCATCTCCAGGAATGCATCAATGGCATCTTCAATTCTGTTTTCTATACCATAAGTATGGACCAAAACACTATATATAAATGAAGTTGGTCTGCAACCATTGGAATCCATTTCCCTAACAATTGCAATTGCTTCATCCACTCTGCCTGCTTTGCAGAGAACATCAACCATTATACCATAGGTCACAATATCTGGGGCACAACCCATATCAATCATCTCTCTGTAGATCTCCCTAGCCTTGGGCAAATTTGGGGCCCTGCCCCATCCTTCGAGCAAAATACTATAAGTTTTTGAGTCCGGAACAAATCGCTCTTTCATATCATCGAAAATCTCCTGTGCTTTCCTCACATTCTTGGTCTTACATAAAGTACTTAGTAAGGCGTTGAACGCTGCCAAGTTCGGTTGCATGCCATACTTATCCATGACATTAAAAGTATAAACTGCTTCATCCACTTTCTGAACCCTTGCATACTTCCTCATAATAATACAAAACGTCTCGACATTCAACATGCTCTTGCTCTTCATCGCATTCACAAGATTCCACATGATTTGATACTGCCTAATCTTAGCCAAAGATCCAATCATGGTATGATAAGCCCTAACACTATGCATATAACTGCGCTGCTTCTCGGCCCATTCAAAGAATCTATAAGCTACAATACCTGCATTCTCGAACCGCTTAAGAACATCCTCCACTACTTCAGGCGAAACCCTTAGCCCACTTTGATCAAGAGCAGTATCAAGCACCACTGGTGAAGAAGAAGACAGGATTTTACAAAATTTTTTGCTAGTAACTAAAACATCCCTTGTTGTTTCGCTGGAACAATATCTTCTCACCAATGTAACCCATCCCAACATTTCATGAGAAATGCAAACTCTGACCGTTTTCATTTTTTAACTTCGAACACGAATCAGAATTCACCTTAAGCACAAAAAACAAAACGCAAACGTTATAGAACAAGCTAAATTTGATAAATTTTAAGTCACATTACATATGCATAGAGATGACTTTTGATTGTTCTTTCAAGGGTTTGTGATAATTGTAGAAAATAAAGACAGCGACTTATATCAATTTTTAATAACGCTAATATTTTATTTTTATGTTTTTTACTGATAAAAGGAGAATTTCAGATAAAATGCCGAGAAACCATGTGTATTATAATAAAATAAAAGGTTAACCAACCTGCTCATCAGATAGCCTCCGGTCCTCTATGGAATAACAGGGTCAACAAGATGATAATAATCTCGAACAATCCAGTAGTTGTCTTATTAAAACGACCCACGCTATCCTGAAACAAAAAAAAAATGAAGGGTTCGAAAGAGATAGAATCAACACAAACATAAAAACAAATAACTGGCTGGAAATTGGGAATGGTGAAAAAATAAGCCAAAAGGGAACCTTGCGAGATACGGCTAGAGGCGTTTGCCAATTGAAATGATGCCGTTGAAGGCCAGAGAAAGGAGGAAAAGATGAAGGGTTGTTGGTTTTGCACAGCCGAGGGTTTTGGGGTTAGGGATAGCGATAATTAAGGTTAAAATACAATCAATGTCAGTTAATTATGTGTTTCGTAATGAAATTGTATTTTTTTTTTTTTTTGAAATGTTAGACACCCGTTGTAATGCAATTGTATTTTTTTAAAATGTTAGACACTCATTTTTATTCGGGTCTCGAAAAAAATTATATTATTTATTATTATTATTATTATATTATAATAATAATAATTATTATTATTATTATTATTAAATTATTATTACATTTTTTACGTATTACAACTCAGACCCAAAAGCCATTTCAAAGTATCCCACCAGACTCAATCATCAGCCCACTCAGACAAATCCATATTACAATCGATCCGGGTCTACTCGGATCCGACTGGACGCCCAACTCCAGACCCGTTAGGGTTCCATCAACTTCTGCCCAGTCGCCCTTGATCTCCATCGTTGGATCTAGGCCCATCCAATGGTCCAAATCACCTAAAGCAATTAGGGTTTTATACCCTAACTTCAACAGCAGTCATTATTAACACCAGCTCAACCGCCGTTGACTTCCCGAGCCGCCTTCATCGGAGTCGATCTGTAAAAATCCATCCAACAATGACAATCAACAGTAGAAGTGGAAGGGAAATAAAAAATAAACAACAACTAGAAATCCTAAGGCAATCAGGGGTTGTCAATCTAGTCGAAATAACGTATTCATACCCTATTTCTTCCTTGGTAGCAACAGAAGTCTAAATCAATCAAGCCATCACATATCAACATAAAAGAAGAGAAAGACATAAAGAAAAAGGGACCATTTAGGGAAAGAGAAAACAAAAAAAAACTACCTCCCATTCAAACAAGACACTGAATCAAACCAGAAGAAAAACAAGAGAAAGCAAAAGAAAACAAAATAGAAAAACAAAAAGAACCAATCAACCTATTCGAACCCAAAACAAAGAAAACCAGAAAAAATAGAGAGAGAGGTTTCTCACCGTGGTTCAAAGCAAGTACGGAACTCTAAAGGTCGCCAACTTGTAGTTGCTTCGAAAGGTAACAATATAGATCTAGGAGTTTAGGGGTTGTTTTAGGCTAAATGGGGTTGGGTTTCGGTTTTAGGGTGGTGAGACGAAACTTTCGGTTTGTTTCCTCTCCTTTTGGCCACCGTACGCCGTCATGGGCCACCATAGGTGCCGTCATGGGCCACCATAGGTGCCGTCGGTGTAGGGCGACCCTTTCTTCCCCGATAAGGGAGTTGAGATAAAGCAAACGAGGGGAGTTGGGAGATATTAGGCAAGGGTTTGGATATAAATACCCAAGTCAATACGCAACCCTTTTTCCTCCAACCCCATTCGTGTTTTCGAGTTATAGGATAACTACACTTTTAGTCCCTAGGGTTTTGTAATCTCATATTGAAGCATTTAATGAAGTTTCACTTTATTTGATTTTGAGTATTCATGTTTCATTATTTATGTTTTAGTCATGCTATTATAGGCCATATGATTTTTGTTAATGTTTGACTTTGGGAATGATATTTGTAAATTTATTATTTTAGTCATTGTTTTACTTTTTGTTTAATTATTTTTTGGCCACCATATTTGCAAATATTTTATTTTAGTCACTATTTGGCATTTAACATTAATTATTTTTTAGTCCTCCATGTTTCTTGTTTATTTTATTTTAGTCTATAAATGTTATTTATGGGTTATTTTTATTCTGGTCCCTATTTTTATTTTAAATTGATTATTGGGGCTCTAATTTGTTCATATTTGTTTATTAGGTCCTTCCAGTTTCTTTTAATACCAGTTTAGTCTTTTAAATTTCTATTTTTGTTATTTTAATCCCTTAAGTTTCTATTTTTTCTATTTTAGTCCTATAAATGTCTGTATTCACTATTTTGTCCCTTAAGTTTCTATTTTTCTATTTTAGTCCTTTAAATATTTGTTTTTGCTATATTAATACCTTAAGTTCCTCTTTGAACTATTTTGGTCCTTTAAGTTTCTGTTGTTCCCATTCTGGTCCTTATAATTATAAATACTTACTTTTTGATCATTATATTTTAGGTTGTAATATTCATTTGTATTTATGTCAATCCCTTATCTATGTACATATTTTTATGTTATGTATTCATTTGTATCATATGTAAATAAATATGTTTAACTTTATTTGTTGTAAATATTTTACTTTGCATATTTTTATTTGTCTTTATTTCCTTTATATTTCTTTATTTAAATATTATCCAAATATTTCCAATAACGTATTTGTAGAACGAGCGTGGAGAGTATCACTTTATTGAAGTGGTACAATCCGATACGACGTTCAAACGAAATGGAAACTTGAAATAAATTTAGTTCGTTTTATTAATTAAATTTTATTATTCAAATGATCCATTACATTTTTTGTGTAATTTATTTTATACAAATATCGATTTTTATTTCAAGTTCTATACGCATATTTATTGATGAGTGAATATTCTTTACGGATAAGAAATAGACGAAATAGACGACCCATTGGAAGACATACGAATCTCATGATTTCTTATCAAATTAAAGAATGTTCCCTAATAAATAATTCGAAGCAAATTAATTAACTTTAAAAAATGGATCATACTTTAAGTACCGATTTGAATTCATTATTTCCACTATTACGACAACGTGTAAGTGATTGAGTAACAATTAAAAATTATTTTAAAAGACATTTTTAGGTATTTAACCTACATAACCGAAAGGTCGATGGCGAATCCCTTTCAATTTATTTCAAATCAATTCAAAACCACCAATTTTTCAAATTAAAGTCATAATAGTTTTTAAAATAATGGTTAATTGTTTTTTTCCAAAAAATGGTTATGATATCTTGGCGACTCTGCTGGGATATTTTTTTAGAGAGTCAGGCTGTAAGTCGCTTACACATTGTCGTTTGGAGGAAATTATGAGTTTGAGTCTTTAGTTAACCTATGATCCTTTTATTGAATTTTTAATTGTCATACTAACATTTTAATTTTTGTTTTCAGCTCTGTCCAAGTTTTGTTGAGAGTTTTATTTGTTCGTTTTTTTGGTCAAAGGTAGGTACGCTCCTCCTCACACAAATCACGTGTATTTGTATAACATGAGCTTCGATCCAAATAGGTCGCAGTGAATGCTTTACTCTCGTAAGAATTATTATTCGTATGAGTTTTAGCAAATAACCCATGGGATACATACCTTATACCTTCGTACGAATTTATTCCTCGTATAGGTATAAGGTAGTGAATCACCTCGAATTGAACTCGTTCCGTTCGAAACCTGTAATGGGTGAGGATCGAGGGTTTGGCAGCCCAAGGGGGACCGACATCAAGGACAATTCAGGTACCCTTTTTCTGTTAAAGCCAAAATCATGCATATAGTAAACCATAGAACGACCATTTTAGGTATAGTCATATTGAACCTTTGCCCGTCAGTAGGTACCCAAAGTAAGTGTACACAAAGGAGGATCATTTCTAAACCTTTATCTTTTTCCTTAAGTTCGTAGAATATATTTTCTTTTCAAATAAAAGCATGCAAACTAGATGTCATGTGGTTAGGATTATTTTCTTGAAATAATCAGTTTTGGGTAGAAAACATGTTCGGGTAGGATGTTATTTAATTAAATCATGTTCGGGTAGATATCATGACAGGGTAGGTGTTATATTCATCTTTGAATAACATTTTTATCTGTATCGATTACCTTACATGTGCTAACTTATTTCTATTATTTTGTTTATGTCATTTTTCTTCATTCTTTGCATTGCATTTGCATCGACATGACAAAATGTGAAAGTGTTGATCCGTAAGGGGATATTAGAGAGAAAATCTTCACAAGAAGAGATAAAAAATTTCAACCAAGCAATCGTGTACACAAACATGCACCGAAGGTTAAAAGAAGTTCAGAGATTCCAGAATGAGACTTGCTCGAAGATCGTGCAACATTCGAGACTAAAATGATGATCTATTGATCCGAGGAGTAATCCAGCAGTAGATTCTTATTTATGATCGTTTCATCGCTAGTCATCAAAGAGCGACCCATTGACTTCAATACCACCGGGGCATTAACGGAGTCAGATTACAGAGCAATTGAGGGACATCATTTGCAAGGACAAAGATCCGAGACGAAGTAGTGATTCACTTCAGACTCAACATCTAAGTGAAGGCATCTCTGTAAAGCGGACTATCTTGTAATGTGAAGGTTTTTATTTCTGGTGAAAATTGTTATACTATATTCATCATTGGGATCAATATTTTTGCATATGCATTTGCATCATTGCATTTTGCATGGCATTCATTTAAGCATTTCTTACATGCATTAATCATATATCGTGGGGAACTTTGAGGAAGTGCTTTTAACTGTGCAATTGCATTCACACAGTACTGAGAATGAAAGCTAAATTTGAGAAGCTGAAGAAATAATTGGAAGAGAGTTTGCAAAAGATGCAAACAAAGTGGGAAGCTAAAATGGAACAGGTGCAAAAGGCCACCATGGATCGTATTTTGCAAAACCAATATGACTTGGTTAATCAAATTGTAGCAAAGATGACTGGGCTTAACCAGGAAAGAGGCAAAGAGAAGATTTCCTCAACCTATGAAACCTCTAAATATGTGATAGCCCGTGCTAGTCCCCAATTACTCATTTCACCCCGCAAGCTTCCAAGCCACCAAGTAGGCTTCTCAGCCACTAAAACTCGTACAACTGTGATAAATCCTCGGGGTAATTCTACTAATCACAACATGCCAAATCCTGATAAGATGAAAAGAGCCAACAATGAGATCCAGAGAATTTGAAAAAGTGGTGCAGGGAGACATTCAAGGGAATGAGAGGACATAGCTCTCACAATGAAATGGATGCAACAGAACTAGTCTTAGTTCATAACTTGGTGCTTCCGCCCAAATTCAAGATGTCCGACTTTGAAAAATACGATGGAACTAGTTGTCTTAATGCCCATCTCACGATGTTTATTCGAAAGATGTTTGGGTACACCAACAATAATCAAATGTTGATCCACTACTTCCAAGACAGTTTGATTGGACCCACTTCAAGGTGGTA